TTCTCAGTACTATGGACATTTTGGCCAAATAACTATTTGCTATCGAGCTGTCTTATGCTTTGGAAGATGTTTAGCAGCACCCCTGGCCTCTACCCACTGGAGGCCAATAGTTGGGAGATAGCCAATATACTCAAAATATGCAAATCAGTATTTATCGGTGAAAATGAAAAATGTGCCTTTTTACGGGAAAAATGTTAACAAACAGACTTTTTGGCCAACCCAATATAATGGCAGGTGTATTTATTTTCTATGCGTAATGTAGATTTCCTTATGTACCAGGAAAAGAAAATCACCTTAAATAAATATACCCCTCTTCTAAACCTACAGCACTAAACTACAGATGAGTTCATCATGGTGCTGTCAGGCTTCATCGTTACCACGCCCAACAGGGTATCTCTCCGGAGAGCTCTGCTTGGGTCCTCCTGTTCTGGCCCTTGTCTCACAAGTACAATTGAAACCAAGAAGATCTCAGGGAAAGCACAGAAACATTGAGAGCTAGCCAGCTCTACAACCAAGTAACGCTCTGTCGGGATGACATGACCCTCATTCTAAATACTGGATGTAGTCTAGTCAGGCCGTGCATCTTTTAAAAAGCTTTTATTAAAGGTCTTTATAGAGCAACATCCAGGCTCCAGATCCAGCTGTCAATGAGAACCTAAAACCAAATAAAGCACAACAGTCAGAACAGAAATTTCACCTGAGTATTGGGTTCTTTCATTTACCAAATGAATATACACTCCCACTTAGGGTTCACATGAAAATAAACACAAAGAACATTTGGGGGGATAAAACCCCCTAACTAAACAGACGTTCTGTTTTAAGGGGGTTGCTGAAGGATGATAGCTAATTACTAGCAATAGTGGCTTGAAATTTTTGAGTAAATAATAAAGGGAAATTTCTATTTTAAGCACTGTAGTAAATATAGGAATTTAAGAGACCAAGGCCACACACAGCCCCCAACAGAATCCTGAGTTAAAAGGACCCTGGCTCTAACCTGCGTTTTCCCATGTAAATTAAGCATAATCCAATTATTATTTGCCAAAAGCGTACCAGTGTGCGAAACAAGTAATAACAAGGGAGATAAAGAAACAGGGTCCTATTCTACCTCAGAGGCTGCTAGAGACGTACCTGTTATGCCGTGGGTACTGGCTGGGGCATGGCAGGCGGCTCCGGCTTCCCGCCCTTCTGCTCCGAGATGGGGGTGGTGGGCAGGATCTCATCTTTGGGTTCCACAATGCTCACGTGGTCAGGCAGGGGCTTCTTGGGGCCTATCTTACCACTGGGGTCCCAAGGAAGCATGATCTTCACTTTGATGCCCAGCACCCCTACAGGATAGACAGAAGCACGGTTAGGGCCTACCTACCTGTGGTGTCACTGGCCCCCACTACACAATAGGACAGGGCAGAGGAAGAGAACAGTAAATTACTCAAGTACCCCTGGATCTGGTCCCTTCTCAGACAAATGCCTCTAATCAATCAATGAACAGGACACTTTTGCAAAAGGAACCCATGCAATGCCACAGAACATGGCACTGACAAGGACCAAGAGCAGGAGGTGACCTTTCTGACTCGTCATCGTGTCATCACTGAAGGGTACCCAGTTGGCTGAGACAGGGACGAACCAACTCTTGGATCTGACTGATATCAACAACTCACTTCTTACAGTTCAGTGCCGCTAATCAATAAACCCAAGGAGCACTAACATGCTCTGCTATTCCCAAGATGAATCCCCCCAACACTGAACCATATCTATGCACCAAGGCCCTTTGCCTTAAGAGCTCCCAGCGGCTCACCCTGCCTAAGCAGCACATGGCGCACGGCAGTGTCAACGTAGTAGTTGACAGGGTCCCCACTGTGGATCATCAGACCGTCGACAAACTTCATGGACTTAGCCCTCTGTCCTCGGAGTTTCCCAGACACCACGACCTCGCAGCCTTTGGCCCCGCTCTCCATGATGAACCGCAACACGCCATAGCAGGCCCTTTGGGAGAACAAGGGATAGATGTTCATTTGTGTTATCACCAAACACAGGGTCACACGATCCAGTACCATCTTAAAAGAAATAAAATAGCCCTTGCCAGTTGGTTGGGCATTGTCCTGCAAGCCGAAGAGTCGCCGATTCAATTCCTAGCCAGGGCACATGCCTGGGTTGCGGGTTCAATCCCCATTTGGGGCCCACATGGAAGGCAACCGATCGGTATTTCTCTCCCTCCCTTTAGTCTGCACTGTTTTCAGGGCAGGGGTGTCCAACACGCAGCCCAGGATGGCTATGAATTCAGCCCAACACAAAATTGTAAATTTACTTAAAACCTTTTCTTTTTTTTGGTGCTCATCAGTTTTCGTTGGTGTTTATGTGTGGCCCAGAGACACCAAAAGGTTGGACACCCCTGCTTTAAAGGATACCATCACCTCCCCACCCCTGCCCTGGCCCCAAGCCTAGGCCCTACACCAGGCCAATTAAATTGGTAATCTGGGGATCGGGGCGTGGTGATGCTCAGGAAGAAGCATTTTCTAAAAAAAAAAACCTAACAAAACAAAAACAGAAACAAAAAAACATGTCGCAGGAAATTCAGCCTGGAGCTAGTCTTTCCAGTCCAGTCCATCTCTGCCAACTCGGGATTCCAAATGGTGCAAGCAACCCGTACGAACCCAGAAGTCCCTCGTCACCGAGTGACCCCTCCACTGAAACATTCCACAACCTCCAGAGATCGTGTTCATTAGGTACCTAAGCTACCAATTTAGGCTCTTAGCTACCTTGACTATTAGAATACTGGAAAAAAACCATTTCTACTTCTATAAAACTGATAGTAAGCCTTAAAGTATCATGCCCAAACTCAGTCATTAGTTTACACCTGGGAGATACTAACTGGAGCGAGCCGCCACTTTCAACAGGAGAGTAGAGAGTAAGACCTACCACCAAGCCACAGACCCTTTCACATCCCATTTAATCCCCCCAAAAGGGCATGGTATAAGGAGCGTCACTTAGAGACAGGTCAACCAAAGGTCAGAGAAGTTTAGTTAAGTTGCTCAGTTCTCAGAACTTCCAAGTCAAACTTCAGTGTGTGCAAAAATCACGTAGAGGGCTTAAGACAGACTAGACGGGCTACACTCCCACTTTCTAAGTCAGCGAGTCTAGGATGGAGACTGAAAATTTTTTCTAAAAAGTCCTCAGCTGATGGCAGTGATGCTGGCCCAGGGACCGAACTTTGAGAATCACTTTGTAAGTGGTGGAGCTGTCATGAAAACCAGAGGGCTGTCTTCTTCATGTTCTTTCCTGCCCACTCCAAGGGCAGCCTGCCAAGAGCACTGCCCTTTCTCCACTGAAAAACCTCCCGGGGCTCTGCTTCAGGGCCAACTCAACCACCTTAGGCCCTCTATCGTCCTCCACTCCTCACATTATTATCGATATACAGCTTACAAAGACAAACGGCTAGATTATAAGCTCCCTTCCAACTGCACAATGTTTTACCTCTCAATGATGGAGCCGAATGACTTCAACAGGAATCCTAACCTCCCTTCCCTGAGTTCTTTTTTTAGTTTTACTCCCAAAGCACTCAGAACAGTTTTCTATTATAACACTGACCAGTTCCTTAAAAACTTCCTTCTTTACTAGTCTTTCCTGTTAGAATGTCAGTTTAGCAAGGACATGGATTCAAAATAGCTTATTGTTAAAACCCTCAGAGACTGACAGAGCCCGCCATTTCATGAACACATAGAGTGTTCATTTGCTGAAACAATAAAATGGAAGACACACCACATTCTGATCCACAAAAAAAGGATACTTACCTTCGCACAGCAAGGCCTCCTAGGAGTTTGTAACGCAGAGACTCTGCCTGGGCAATGGCACACAGGCCTCTTGTGGCCACCTTTTCAGCATAAAGCTTTAAGAAAGAAACAAGGTACATCCTTTAAGCTTGTTACCTCCATTGTTTCCAATTAAAAACCAGCACACTCATCATATACACACATACTACTGTATTTTTCACTGTAGCATCCCTTAAGCACTAAAGCACTTCCACCCCTCAGCCAGCACGTACTCAGCGCCATGGGCTGAACCATTCCTCACTGCCCTCCCATGCCCAGCCCTTCCTACAGCCATACCAGAGAGGCTGGGGGGCAGCCAATTCAGCACACGGAGCTTACTACACCCGAGGTGAGTGTAAAATCCCTTAACAATCAGAACGGAGCAGCAATTACGCCTACCACTTACCACGAGAACTTTAACAAAATAGCAATCCATTTATAATATTCACTGATCACGAATATATAACAAAGTCTTCACAGTGATAAGGGTGTTTAGGAGCGCCATCCTAAAGAGCCATTTGCAGGTCCACAGTAACCTCTGGCATTAGCCAGGGTCACTCACCTCTACGCTGCCCTCAGGGAAGCCAAACCTCTTCTGAACCACAGCAGTCAATTCCCGGATCCTTCGGCCCTTCTCTCCGAGAACATTCTGTGTCCTGGGGAAAGTAAAAAGTGACAATTCACAGCTCTCACAGAATCCCAGACATAGCTTCAAACCTTGTATATATGTAGTAACAAAACCTCATTTATCAGATGGCGAGAACTAGTTTGATTTAAAAATGCAGTTTAAAAAAACCAATTGCATTCCCCAAGGCTAAATTCACTGGTTGGCCCTGTAAGCTTACAGACTAAACCATCTTAATGTATGTAACGATTACAGGTGGCCAGGAAAATAAATGAGTTTTTACCTGGTGGCCAAAATAATAATTTCTGTCCTGGTTGGTGTAACTCGGACCTCAACCCCAGAGTAGCCATCTTCAGCCAGTTCTCGAGTGAGAAACTCGTTCAGTTCAGCTTTGAAGATGCCATCAGCAACAAACTAACCAAAAAGTAAAATTCAACGTTAGAACATGGGGGCAGGCTCACTTTCCCCTGCCTAGTCTTTCAGCCAACGCCTCCCTCATCAAAACTCAACACCTCCAACAAAGGACCCATCATTAATCATATTACCCTTGTTCCAACGGGAATGTAGCAAACCCTTCTCAGACAAATGCCTCTAGGTCATCTTTTGGTGGTGGGTTTGACCCAGGGCCCTTGAAACCGTGCCACAGAACGCAGCACCGAATAGGGGCCACCTGGACAATCACACCTCCAGTCAGACTCGTCATCATCTCTTCATTGAAGGGTTTTTAAGACTGTCGTTTATAGGAACACTTGCTAAACAAAAACTGCTCTAAAATGGCAGTTACAGCTCGGTCATTCAGCACAGCAGGGACACCACGCAAGTGGCGGATTTAAGCAGTCCCACCCTGGAGACAACGTGGACGGTGGGAAGAATCCCAGCCTTCCTTGCTGTACATGTCTGAGAGGGCTGGCCACTCACAAAAGCGTGAGCTTTATTTCAACACGGATGTATGCATACAAAAATGGCCAACGGCCTATTCCTAAAGCAAATACACTTGACAGCTCTTTCCCATGGGAAGGTGAAAAGTTAAACTCGAGGACGCGTTCTTCTCAGGTTCCTTCCCCCCGTTATCAGCCCACGGCTTTTCCTCGGGCCCTCGATGGAGCAATAAATTGTCAGCAGCCTGTCGGTTAGTCTTTGGGGTCAGAAGGCTGCATCCAGACTCGACTAGTAAGGCAAAAACACGCTACGCTACTACCACCCCTCCCGAAAACCATGGTGTTACGATCTGAAGAGAACGGCTCGGCTCACACTCTCAAAATATATTTACTAATTCCACTTGTTGACCAAGAAATGCTCACATGCTCCTTCTCCCGGGCAGGAGAGGAGCCCGGTGCTCATCTCTGGGCTCCGCCCGGAACCGGCAGAAATCCTCTCCCTTTCCGCGCCACACTGAGCTCGCCGGGCTCGGGCCCCATACTCAATCCGCCGCCATCCGCAGCCCGCGGGCATGCCTCGCGGCCCGAGCCACTTTCAGGGGCAGGGTACGGAGCTTCGGGGCCCGCGACGGCACCTCGAGAAGCCCCAGAATCTCACGGCGCTGCAATCCTCTGGACCCGAACCCTAACATCTCACCTTCCTCTTCTTGGAAATTTGCACAGCCATCTTTACGCTCTGCGAGGCCAAAAGAAAAGGAAGTAGTTCGCGGGCGGAAGTAGGTATAAAGGGCGCGGAGCGACTACGAAGAAATGAGCGACGTCCACGCCTGTGGGCGCTCGTGGGAAATGTAGTTTATATGTTGAGGAAGGCGTTCCGGGAAGGAGAAGAGCGATGGAGACACCTAGAGGAGGAAACAAAAAAGGGAACAGATCAACCAGAAGTTGGGAATTGCAGGGGAGTTGAGAGCTCAGTTCTCAGTACTGTAGGTTAAAAATGAACGACATGAGATGCAGAGATGAAAATTACAAGTGTAAACTCACAGAGCAACATTGTTTAACCCAGCGCAGAACCCTGGTCCCTACAGTCTGCAGTCTGCACCGTAATGAAAACTAACTGAAAGTCCTCAGTGAAATCCATTTAGTTGACCAGCTCTTTACCTGTTTTCATTTCCTCCTTTCCAACTGATATCTGACATTTGTTAAGCATCCTAGGGACTGTTTCATATCCTTTATATGATAAACGAATTCATTCCTACCTCGCTTTCATAAAATCTGTTACAGCTTGTAACAATAAGTAACAAAGTACTGGCTCATGGGCTCACAATTCTTTTTCAATTAGAAGAAAATTTCCCTCCACATTTTACTACGAAAATTTTCAAGCATACAGAAGAGTTGAAAGAATTGTGCAATGCACGCCTATATAGGCATCACCTAGGTACTGCAATGAACATTTTTGCTCTATTTTCTTTGTCACATACTTATCCATCCCTCTATTCACCTGCCCATGCGTCTTTTGGTACATTTCAAAGTTGCAGACATCAGTACACTTCACCCCTAAACACTTCAACAGTTTTAGGTTAAATCTGGGTAATTTGCCTGCATTTAATTAAAATCAGGAGGTATCTCTATAAAAACTATTTTACGTTATTCTTTTAAAATATATGAAGATTTCCAAAAAATTAAATAAAGGAGAAGAGAAATATGTAGAAAGACCTAACAAAATACTAGACTCATGTTTCCTCATGGCTGCATTCTCTTCCTTGTCAGATGGCAAAGGAATTTCCCATGTGCCACAGTCCCTGGCAGCTCCATTCATTTCTTGTCTGGTCCTGCAAGACATTCATGTTTTTCCCCAGCACCAAATGAACAATTCTGATGCAAAGATCTGCCCTATAATCATGGAATTAACAGACTACTGTGGGAAGCTGAGCAGAGGGATCAAGGAAGATGAAAAGAAGTGGGTGAATCAAAAAGACAGATAGGCTGTATCTCAATGTATCCTGATGTATCTAGATGGACTGAGCTGGAAGAGGGGAATTGAGAATAATGCCCAGGTTTCTGACTCTAGTGGTGGATGCTTGGTGACCTCACTGAGATGAGGAACCCAAGGACAGTTTTATTTCTTCATGTGTTATTTCCCTCTACTCTTCACTCCCCTCTTCACTGAGCTCCACGGACTGTTAATTCATTGGTGCCAGGCTGCTAAAATCTCACCCCTGGTGAATCTGCGTACCTGACTTTGCTATACCCCAATGTGGAATGTAGGTACTGTGGGAGAGCACCTAGCTTTGCATGCTATAGTCAGAATATTTCCTCATTCAGTTATGCCCCCCCATTCTCCCACAGTGCCCATTATAATTATATTTGTTAAATCAGAGCCTCTCCCTCATTCTCAGCAGTCAACCTCCCTCCTAACTTGTTGCCCCCCAGATAGATTGGACAGACGAGACCTGCCTCTGACCTATCCTGTAACTGTATGTTTCCTTGCCCATCCTTCTCTTTTTCCCTCCCTGGTCATGAAAGAGACCCTCTTCTTGTCCAAGGTCAGTGTTCCCTGTGTATTCTAGTTCAAGTTTATTCTGTTCCTTTGAGAACTTGCTCTGGCAATCATGCTCTCCCTTTCTGTGATACTCTCTGTTACTGGCTCTTTTCTTCTCTCTCATGTTAAATATGTCATTTCCTCCAGGGTTGTGACCCTCTTAGTAGCTCTTAGTTGTAGAATAAATTTTAAAAGAATTTTTTTTTACTGCTTTTGTATTATTGCTATAAGACTTACATGTCTGATACCCCTACTTACAATAAAAATAACATTCAGAGTATGGAAGCATGTGAGAAAAGGAGCATCTTCACACTGTAGGTGGGGTGTGAACTGGGCTTCTTTTTGGATGGCAGCTTGATGGTAACCACCACAATTTAAAATACAGATTCCCTTTGGCCCAGCAAATACATTCCTTTTTATCTATTCCAGGAAAATGCCTACACAAATATACCTGGAGATGGATGCAAGAATGCTCATTATAGCACTATTAGAAATAGTGAAAAAAATAAAGAACAGCCCCAAAGCCCCTCAGTAGAGAAGTGGTTAGGCAATATTATGTAGTGATTAAAAAGAATGATTTGGCTTTGTGACCACACATGCAAAGAGCACCAAGAAATATCTCCACATGACAGAGCCTAGCTGCAGAACAATATGGTCTCTATGACATTGATGTACAATAAAATAAGACATATATGCATGTAAGTGCATAGGAGGATAAATACCCAACCAATAGATAACTAACTTACTTCTGGGGATGGAGCAGTATTGGGGAGCTTAAAGGGCAATCTACTTTATTGCTCAACTCTTTTAAATAATAAAAATATATTCATATATTACTTGTGAAATTGAAAATATAAAAAGAAAAAAATGCAAAGGCCTCATTTCTGATCATGTGGCCACTTGTGATACAATGTGAATGGTCAGCCTCTAACACCAAATCTCACAATACTATCTTCTGAAAGTTCAGGGTAAAGAAAAGCTTACTCTCTTCATCAGACTATCAATCCCTGCTTCATAAGGTAGCCAGTGACCTCGCAGGGCTTCTCAGTACCTGAGAGGTTGCTGGTCTATGTGGAAAGCTGCTCCTTGTGTAAAATGCAAACCAGATTCCAAAATATTAAAAAAAAGAATACTTCAGTAATTTTTATATGGATTACATGTTAAAACTCACATTCTAGATATATTGAGTTAAATAAAATATGCTCTTAAGTTCACCTGTTTCTTTTTGTTTTTTCATGTGGCTATCAGAAAATTTAGAATTCCATATGTGGCTTATATTTTTTTAAAAAAAGATATTATTTATTTGTTTTTAGAGCTAGCGGAAGGGAGGAAGAGAAGGAAACATCAACGTGTGATTGCCTCTCATGCACCCCCTCCTGAGGACCTGGCCCACAACCCAGGCATGTGTCCTGACTGGGAATCAAACCAATGATCCTTTGGTTCGCAGGCCGGCACTCAACCCACCAAGCCACACCAGCCAGGGCAATATGTGGCTTATATTTGTCTTGGGCAATGTTGTTGTGATCTATCTTTCTTTCTTTCTTTCTTCCTTTCTTTCTTTCTTTCTCCCTTCCTTCCTTCCTTCCTTCCTTCCTTCCTTCCTTCCTTCCTTCCTTCCTTCCTTCCTTCCTTCCTTCCTTCCTTCCTTCCTTCCTTCCTTCTTTCTTTCTTTCTTTCTTAAAAAATGATTTTATTTATTTATTTTTAGAGAGAGCAGGAAGGAGCGATTAGGAGAGGGAAAGAAACATTGGCAGCCCCCAACCCAATCCAGGCATGTTCCCTGACCGGGAATCAAGCCTGTGACCTTTCGATGTGCGGGATGACACCTAACCCATTGAGGTGCACCAGCCAGGGCACTGCTGTAACCTTTCAACCACAGAAGCCAATGGTGCTTTACATCTCTTTGTTCTCATGAGATTTGGCACAGTGATTGGCAGAGAGAGCACTTAGTTACTGTTTAAAGGCTTATTGAACAAAATAAACTTCACAAGGAGTGTGATGAATCTGTTCCCTGTTTGCCTGGGACCCTGGGAAACTCAGAGATAAATTTCACGCTCAGTTGAGTTCTTGGGATCCCACCCTGGCTCATGGGCGAAGGAGGCCTATTACGTGGAATTCAGAATGGTTTCCAGAGCCCTGAATCCAGGAAAGCGAGACCACCGCAGTCTCCTTGTCCACATAAATGCCCTTCCTCCTCTAGAAACTGAGGCCAAAGTGGTCCAGTGGACGAGTAGAGGCGAACTCAGTGAAAGCAACCATTTAACCTTGTTTAGGTTCTTCTGAACAAACAGCCTGCGTGGCC